TGAAGGTCGGCATCTTGGTCAACTGCGTTGGAGAAATGGTCATGTGGCCCTCCGCAGTTTTTCACCTGGTTTCAGCGCCAAGCAAAATTACGCAACCTAGTGGCCGTTAGCAAAAGCCTTCAACTGCAGTGGCACAAAGCTCTAGATATGGGTTCGCATCTTTTTGACGTTCCCAGGCCGGGATGTTTAACTATGGGGTATGCGGTATGTTTCGGAGTATGCTTCTGGGTATGCTTCCCCTAAGTCGAACATTCCAGCCCTACATAAACTGGACACGTAAAATATAAAAACAATAAATTATATACTCCAGCAAAGACTCCAGATAGCAAAAGCATGCAAAAGATTTTTCTGGGCTGCACCCTGCATTGGCAGCAGCTCCAATTTTTACACGCAATACAGCGTGGTGTGTCTCCACTACGCGCACAGCCAGCGCCAGCACCCGGCACCAGCGCCCAATCTGCACCACGCACACAACGAGCACCAGCAACCCGGCAGCACCCTGTGTCCGCCACGCGCACAGCCAGCACCGGCGCGCCAGCTCACAGCACCACACGCGCACAGCCAGCACCCAGCACCCTGTTTCCACCACGCGCGCAGCCAGCTGACAGCACCCAGCACAAGCACCCAGCACAAGCACCCAGCACCCGCACCCTGTTTGCACCACGCGCACAGCCAGCTCACAGTCCACCGCGCACACCCAGCACCCAGCAACGGCGCCCAGCACTGGCACCCTATCTCGCAAAAGTATGCGCGCAGACAGCAAAGCCCATATTGGCCCAAGGCCAAGCAGTATCCAGCGCCACTGTTGATTTTGTATTTTGTAGCATGCTTGAAGCAACGATCTGCCCGCAAAAAGTATGCGCACAAACGGCAAAGCTGAAGGCCTCACTTGCCCAAGGCCAAGCAATATCCAGCACGACTATTGTGTGTGCGTAGCGTGCTGAAACACGCTGAAACAATGGTCGGTTCAGAGCCTGACGTTGCGCATACATTATACGTACAAAAGTATGCGCGCAAACAGTACAGCCCTTGACACAGCTGTCGCCAAAACAGAACCAAATACCCCACAGCGCTAATAGACAAAGAACATCAAAGAACGCTCAAGCGACAACACCGTATGATGTTGCGTGCATTCAGCCAGCTCACAGCACCAGCACCAGCACCGGCACCCAGCACCGGCACCATGTCTCCACCACGTGCGCAGCCAGCTCACAGCACGCACCCGGCACACAGCACCAGCACCCTCTCTCCACCACGTGCACAGCAAGCTCGCAGCACCGGCGCCCAGCACCCTGTCTCCACCACGCGCACAGCCAGCCGGCCAGCGCCCAGCACCGGCACCGGCACCCGGTCTCCACCGCGCGCGCAGCCAACTCACAGCACCAGCACCAGCACCAGCTCACAGCAGCGCCGGCGCCCAGCACCAGCACCGGCGCCGGGCACCAGCGCCAGCAACCTGTCTCCACCGCGTGCACAGCCAGCTCACAGCGCCAGTACCGGCACCCGGCACCAGCACCAGCAACAACAACCCAGCACCCAGCACAAGCACCCGCACCGGCGCCCGGCAACCAGCCAGCTGCAGCAGCGTGCACAGCCAGCTCACAGCACCAGCACCGGCACCCGGCACCCGGCACCAGCACCAGCAGCACCGGAACCCGGCACCACCAGCACCAGCACCCGGCACCCAGCACCAGGAACCTGCGCAGCCAGCTCACAGCCAGCGTGCACAGCCGGCTCACAGCACCAGCGCCGGCACCCGGCACCAGCACCAGCAACCTGTCTCGAAAGCGCGCACGGGCAACTCATTGTTATTTGAAGTAAGAACCCCATAGCTTCGCTATCTGAGGAACTACACCAGCATAGACCCAGATAGCTAGGCAGAATCCCACGACCTGTTGACATACGACTGGCTGGAACAAGAATGTACGCAGCCTGCGCAGCCAGCTTAAGACACCTCGCGCAATCAGCTGACACCAGCGCCCGACCAGCGCCGCCGCCCGTCTTAAACGCGCGCTCAGCCAGCTCACAGCACCAGCACCCAGGACCACAACACCAGCACCAGCACCGACACCCTTTTGAAAGCGCGCGCAGCCAGCTCATTCTTATTTGCAGCAAGAGCCCATAGCTATCCCTACTTGGAAATAACAACATATGATCTTGCGCGTATAAGTTTATGCGCACAAAAGTACGCGCGCAAACAGCAAAGCCCGTAAGTGTCATTGGCCCAAGGCCAAGCAGTATCCAGCGCCACTATTGACTTTGTAGCACGCTTGAAGCAACGATCTGTAGAACGATAAGGCCATATGATCTTGCGCGTATAAGTTTATGCGCAAAAGGTATGCGCAACCGGCAAGCCCGTGGACTTCACTCGCCCAAGTGCAAGCAGTATCCAGCGCGACTATTGTGTGTGTAGCATGCGGAAACACGCTGAAACAATGGTCGGTTGAGAGCCTGACGCATAGAAACATTATACGTGCAAAAGTATGCGCGCAAACAATACAGCCCTTTACACAGCTGTCGGCCAAAACAGAACCTGAAGGGCGTAAATACCTCACAGCGCTAATAGACAAAGAACGCTCAAGCGACAACACCGTATGATGTTGCGCGCATAAGTTCATGCGGCCCATGACTTGCACTTCATTGTCAGAAGCGGCGCTTGGTGCGGCGGTTTGTTACCCTTCACTGTCAGAAGCGGCGGTTGTTATCACTTCACTGTCAGAAGCGGGCACCAGCACCGAGCACCGGCGCGCCAGCTTACGACACCCAGCACCAGCACCCAGCACCGGTACAGCACCACACCCTGCACCAGCACCCGGCACCGGCACCCTGTTTCCACCGCCCACCAGCACCGGCAACCTGTCTCGAAAGCGCGCAGGCAGCTCATTGTTATTTGAAGGGAGAACCCCATAGCTTCGCTATCTGGACAAATTACACCAGCATAGACCCAGATAGCTAGGCAGAATCCCGCGACCTGTTGACATGCGACTGGCCGGAACAAGAATGTACGCAGCCTGCGCAGCCTGCATACGGCACCTCCACAGCGCGCACAACCAGCTGCGTGACACCTGACAACGCGCGCTTAGCCAACTCACAGCACCAACACCCAAGACCGCAACACCAGCGCCAGCACCGACACCCTTTCGAAAGCGCGCGCAGCCAGCTCATTATTATTTGCAGTACCGCATAGCTATCCCTATTTGGGAAATAACAACGCATGATCTTGGGCGTATAAGATCATGCGCACAAAAGTATGCGCGCAAAAAGCAAAGCCCGTAAGCGTCAGTGGCCCAAGGCCAAGCAGTATCCAGCGCCTATTGACTTTGTAGCGTGCTTGAAGCAACGATCTGTAGAACGATAAGGCCATATGATCTTGCGCGTATAAGTTTGTGCGCAAAAGGTACGTGCGCAACCGGCAAGCCCGTGGCCTTCACTCGCCCAAGGCCAAGCAGTATCCAGCGCGACTATTGTGTGTGTGTGTGTAGCATGCTGAAACACGCTGAAACAATGGTCGGTTGAGAGCCTGACGTTGCGACGTGCAAAAGTATGCGCACAAACAGTACAGCCCTTGACAACTTGACACAGCTGTTGCACCCAGCGCCGGCGCCCAGTCTCCACCACGCGCACTGCCAGCACCCAGCACCGGCGCCCTGTCTCCACCACGCACGCAGCCAGCTCACAGCACCCAGCACCAGCACCACAGCCCGTACCCGCACCCGGCCACGTGCACAGCCAGCTCACAGCACCAGCCGGCGCCCGGCACACAGCACCAGCACCGGCACCCGGCACCAGCAGCAGCAACCTGTCTCCACCAAGTGCGCAGCCAGCTCACGGCATCAGCACCAGCACCGGCGCCCGACACGCAGCACCGGCACCGGCACCAGCACCACCAACCTGCCTCCACCACGCGCACAGCCAGCTCACAGCGCCAGCACCAGGCACCGGCAACCCGGCACCCAGCACCAGCACCGGCACCCGGCACCCAGCACCAGCAACCTGTCTCCACCCCGTGCACAGCCAGCTCACAGGACCAGCACCGGCACCGGCACCCGGCACCAGCACCAGCAACCTGTCTCCACCACGTGCACAGCCAGCACACAGCACCAGTACCGGCACCCGGCACCAGCACCAGCAACAACAACCCAGCACCCAGCACAAGCACCCGCACCGGCGCCCGGCAACCAGCCAGCTGCAGCAGCGTGCACAGCCAGCTCACAGCACCAGCACCAGCAACCTGTCTCGAAAGCGCGCACGGGCAACTCATTGTTATTTGAAGTAAGAACCCCATAGCCTCGCTATCTGACAAAAAAGATCAGAACACGACGTTGTGGAGGTGTGTGTTTTCCCAGTGTTCTAGTCTTCTTACGAATTTACTATGCGCTGGAGGTATTCTTATTTAAGGATAAAATGTAGGAGGATATTGTCACATCACGCGCCACATCACAGTAGCAGACATCGCATAGACATCGCAATGTCGCCAGCGTCGCCGACATGGACCGCACAGAGTTTCCCAGAGGGGGGGGGTCGACCAAAAAAAAACATAGCTTCGCTATCTGGTGAAAAAACACATATTCCGAGTGTAATTTAAAACAAGCGGAGTTGGAAACAATGCCCGCGACAGGACAATTGAGCGGTGTCAAAAACACTTGCTTCTGCCAATGCTTGCCCGTGGCTTCCGCGACCTGCGTTTTGGCTTCCACCGGCCATGTTTGGTTGAAATCCTCTTCCGTGCGACATATTTCTTAAAAGTGCTCATAGGCTAGATAGATCTCCTTAGCAGTAGAAGCATTTAGCATTGTCAAGAAGATAAAGTATGCACTTCCGCAAAGCTTCAGCGGTGGTGAATTTTACCATACACGACTGCAGTTTTGGCTTCCGCGGGCAAGTTGGAGTTTACAAGTTTGTTCATCTATATACACAAACGGTTTGTGAGAGTTTTTTGACGCTGCTCAATTGGCAATTGTCAACGCTTTTGAATCTGAGCTGATCCACAAGGCCCAAGCCGAGGCACTGCTTGCGAAACTCGTCAGACTCACCAAGGCCAAGCCAATGACCTGAGACACAAAGCCTGGAGGTATTGTGTGAACTTTGTACCGCTTTCAGTCGGCTAAGGACTGAGCTTGGTAGGGCATATTTAAATCTAACGCACTGTGAACGTGTCTTGCAAAAATTGCAAAATACACCCACACTGACACAGGGCTTTAAAATTTCAACCCCTGTTCCTGGAGCCAGCACGCAGGCGAAGTATGTACTCGGACAAGCACTATCACAGCCAAAAGGTTGGCTATGCACCAGCTGGCAAAAGCTCAACTTTGCAGTCCTCATCGGAGGAGATTGCCTCACCGTCCATGATGTTGATATCACAGGGCACAATTGTTGCAGCCTGGCCAACCTCCTCTGGGATCAGTGACAATGTTTCAACTGGCAAAGCCCTTAGCTACTGGCAGTGGTTGAAAGTGGCAAGGGCCTGAAGGCCAAGATCACAATGGACTACAGTGTTCAGCAATTCGCTCTTGGGGACAGTGCTCTACACTACCCGCCACCATCAGCGGTGGCGGGAACTTCCCAAGCCCAGAAGCCTGCAGTCGGCCCAGTCGGTGAGTCTAATTCAAAAAGATTGAAAATATGATAGAATAGCTGCATAGCCCGTATATGATAATATGATGATTGAATAGCTTGTTTCTGCAAAACCATGTTAGGAATAGTGAATCTTATGAAAGTGTGAAGTTGTAGTCCTGCACTCATGTGCATGGTACTGACCTCCAAGTTGGCTTCAATCTTGTCAGCCTTCCACAATGCTGTTCAAAACCCCTTGACACACCCACGTTTCAATGGTTTTCAACGGTTTTCACTTGGGCACCTCTGTGATCACATCTTGCTGCTGCAGAAGGTCTGCTGCCGAAATGTCTGGATCAATTGCCACCTTCGGCCAAGCCGCCCAGTGTCCATCGTCAGATACAACAAAACTGAATCGTCGGTGTATCCATTGAGGGCCGGAGCAAGAGACATACGAAATGGGGAAGTCCATCCTAGCTTATTAGGTCGTTAGTACGTTGCAGCCCATCTCTCTTATGTTGGAGGCCATCGCTATTAGGAAGGTTCTTTGAGGAATCCTATCTTGAACTTAGCTATTTTCGCTGATTAGACCAGCTTGGCGACTACGGACTCATTGGGCTCCACGCTGTCCGCTCTAGATGCAACAGTAGTCCCCGAACTCGAGCAGCCAAGGCTTTGCCAAGAGTGCCCAAGCCTGGCACCTCCCGGTGTGACACCTCACGGACCACAGCAGTGAAGATTGAAATCATTGACAGTTTCAACTGTAGTCACTGTAGTCAGTGCAAGAATAGCCATCACCTTACCTTCAAGAGTAGCCACTACTTCCAGTAAGTCCAGCCTCGTGGGAAGGCCAAGGTAGCACGTGTGCTGTTGGAGATGGCGATCGACCTTGCAAGTCAATCCCCCAAGGTAAGGTCAAATACTTGGAATGCTAGTAGCGATGGCCTCCAACCTACTAGCAATGGCCTCCACCTAGTAGTTTCTTGTTACTAGTAGCAAACTAGCTACTAGTTACTAGATGCATAGACATTGGATTCGTTGGATTTTTCTTAAGGTGGAAACTCCTCAGTTGCTCAAGCCAATTAGATTTTGTGTTTGCACCTTGCAAGTTCACCCAATGTTAATGCAGACTTTGAGTACATCCCCCTCTTTGTTCTCTCCACAAAATGCATGCAGTCTTGGCGGCAATGTCACATGCAACCATGTTCATGACAAAGTTGAACAAACAAGGGCGAACCAGTGACTTGCACCCATTCTGTATCTCTGATGCACTTGATGGCTTGAAGAAAAGCAATGCACCAGGGACCAGCACAAACCTTTGTATAACTGAGCAAGTTTTTTCCTCACACAGCGAGACTCTGAGGCCAGCTCCTGCATTACCCGTCCAAGCCTGGTAAGATCCAACAAATGCTTTCCAGCCCAAAATGCAAAGCAGCTGAGCATACATCCATATTCAAAGAACAACCACCCGCAACAAACTTAGCGAACCAATGCGACTTTGCCTGAGCCAAAACCTGCCCAAAGGACCGCGGCCTTGGCAAAGACTGATCAAGACATGCCCTCTGTCAAGTCTGTGCTGCCTGTTGCAGTGTAACACTACACATCATTCTGACGCAAATTGAATGCATCTCGCACGCGAACCCTCCCACTGTTGTGCCGAGGCCAAGGCCCTTCATCAGCTTTCTGACCAAAGGATGAAAGCTTCCCTTTTGGCAGCACAAAGCCCGCAAAGGGTCCAATTCCCGAAAAAACAAATTGAAGAGCGATGGAAGAATTCGAAAGAATGTCAGCCTGCTTTAAGCAACAAGAAATATATCTATATATATATACTGTATATATATTTCCCGAGAGCGTCTGCGAAGGGTTCTTCGTAAAAAACATCTGTAGAACTACGTCTCTTGTGTTTTTTTTAGAATGTTGCAAGCCACGAAAGCGACTCTGCAGCATCATTGCCTGTCACTTAGTCATAGCGGACACGCAGGAGGCGTCCACGCACTGTTGCCACGTGCTGGAGGATCTGTTTGTCCTCCTCATTCAAAATATCCAAGAGTTGCCTTTGCGGGAAATCACTCGAGGCCATCCTAAACGTTTTTGCACTTCATCAGAAGGTATGGCCGGGCGGCTATCAGAGAAGGCCGCACACTCCCAACATGAATGATACCAAGAAGGTATCACCGGTTCATTGCAGTGCACACAGTGGTTAGCAATGACCTCCCTACGCATAGCTTGCACACAAGCATCGGAAACTGCTGCGCCTGTCAAAACGGCACGGGTATAACACAACCTTGTTGGTATGCTTTGCGCGTCGCAAAAATGCGTGCTTCATCATACAAAAGATGTGGAAATCTTTGCAACTCTCGACGACGCGAAGCGAGCCACTTGCGAAAAGTTGTCTTCGACAACTTTCCCTGATCCTATGCATGGTTTCATCTTTACCCTGCAAACTAGTCATGTCAATTTCACCACACTCATCATGAGTCCAAGTCCAGGGTCCCGAATTTTGCCGACCAAGATTCCGCAAGTGGTGGGCAAGTGTTTGCTGCCAGGTATGGAGTTTGGGGCACACAGACCATGGGGGGCCATTCCCTTTGGCGATAGTACGATACAAAGCACTGATACAACTAAGGATCGATCGCATTTTTGCTTGTGTGGAATGACCAGCCAAAAGTGCGGTGAGTGCAGGATTGGCAGGCGAGCGCCAAAAATTCATGCATTTGTTTATGGCAGTTTGCAAAGAAGCCCACTGCTGCATGTTGACAAAAAACCAACATCCCCAGGTTGCCTTAGGCAAAGCAACATACGCAAGAACCTCAAGTTTGAGTGGTGCGGCAACCGGCAAAAAAAGACACCTTCTGAACTCTGCGCAAAGTCTCATTTACACGGTCTAGGGCTGTCGGACGAGCAGGAGATCGGCCGCACTCAAAATCTACTCCTAAGATTCTGGTAGTTGGGACAAACCACTTTTCTTGCGCGCCATACGCCAGCATGGTCGCCTTTGCTGAGGTCGTGCGGGCAACGACACAAATTTTATGGTCATTTTCGACTAAGCCTAAGTCTACCGACCACTGCATCCATCGGTTGATCATAGTCATGGCGTAAGCAGCATTCTGCGTGAGAAAGGACCGGTCATCAACAAAAGTAATCAAGTGGACATGTTCACCATCCTGCGCAGCCTGACGGCGGAGGTCAAGAGTCGGCATGCTGAGAACGGCAAGAAGTGCAATTACACTTAGAGCATCTCCCTGTGGCAAGGAATTGGAAATACGCGAAGGAGTGGCACTAATACACCCTCTATATTGCAAATATCGGACCTGTTGGCCCCAAACGTGCTGGCATGCAAAAATCATTGGCTCTGGCATGCCTAATTTTTGCAAACACTTCAGTGCGAAGCTCGGCACATTGACTGCTTTCCATCTACGACTTCTGGTAGCAGTGGCAACGCGGCGGACGCCGAGTTGCCGCACACCACGGGCCACTCCCAGCTGAGAAGCAAGTTTGGCCACTCGAGAGCATATGCAAGAACAGTTTTTTGATCCTGCTTGTCCACCCATTGCACCGCAATGTCTTTGTCAAAAGGTGCAATAGGTAACGGATCACGGCCCAATTTTTCAACAAACGCTGATTGTCAGCCGACCTGCCACTCTGCAGGAGAAGGTTGGCTGCCACTGATTCTTCAACTCTGAACAATCCTTTGATCACACTTTTGTGACCATCGGCTCCAGGTTGCAATTCCCATCCACAGCTATCAAAGATTCGAACAGGGGCTGTCGAATCTGAACAGGAAATGCGGCAATGCAACTTCTCGCAAGCTTTCCAGGGTTTGCTTGGATCTTGGCAAAGTTTGCACTGAAGCGTTTATCAGCAAGCCATCTTAGAACAATAGTTTTTCCCCTTTGGCGTTTCAGGGTCAGCAAGTTCGGGGGAGCCTGCGGTGTGGGCGCCCCTGTAGTCAGTGCAGCATAGTGCACCGTGCATTTCTTTCCATTGGGTCTCGTGGAGGTTTCAAAGGTCTGAAGAACACATTTTGGAAACCAGGTTTCAACGGCGCGATTCCATTCAGGGTCGTTGAAGAAACGCAACACTCACCTTGGCAGCAGGTTGGCCAGCGAGGAAAGCACAACCCTCTTCCAGATCTGACACATCTGTGGGTGCAAAAAGGACAGTTTCACTTTTTGCACATGCACTCTCAAGCTTGGCAACAGTCGTGACAGTGTGTACACTTTTGAAGGCCAAGTGCCATGACGCAATGGCAGGCACAGACGTCACGGGGCCCTTTCCATGCGGCGCAGCTCCTTTTAAAGGAGCAGCTTGTTTTCCCTTTAGCCCAGCATACGAAGCAGCAGCTGGGACCTTTGCCCTCTCCCTTCGACATGCTTTCGCTACTAACATGTAGAGGGTCAGAAGGTCGTAGAACAACCTGTCGAGTTTTCGGTGGCTTTTTGCGAGAAACCACTGTCCAATCATGTTCTCCAGCAGCCCGGCTGGGAGCTGCCGAATGCCTTGCAACAAGCTCTGTCAAGGCTTTTAGCAGGTTTCCAGGTTTCGTGCGGACAAGACTTTTCAGGTCCGTCAGGAGATCTTCCTCAGCATCAGCTTCTTCGTCCTCTTCGCACTCCATGCTTTGCACGAGCGTACTCAGACCAGCAAGAAGCTTCTCATTGCGCTTGCGGCCACTAGCGGCCGATCCGGCAGCGCCACCACGCCAATTCAACCCTCCACCTCTGTGCAACGAGGAAGCGTCAACGCTTCTAGGCAAAGGAACAGCCATGCAAGGAACCAGGCGTGAGGACCACATCAGACCAAACATCGTAAATGTGGAGAAAGTGCCAATTAGCAGCGCTATGCCACAAAGAAGTCGTTTTCGTCGCCTTTTGCGACGTTTGCCAACCCGAATGCAGCTATAGGCTCTCCGTCTCTTTTTTTGAACAAAAATGCACACGCAACATCGGAAAATCACCCAGAAAATGCAAGTGTGAAAACACACATCAAAATGACAAAATGCTTAGGGATGAGCAAAGAGAAGATCAAAATGGAGATGATCAGAATGGAACTCCATGAACGACCATGCAAGTTCCATTGGTAGCACCACCTGCTCTTTTCGCACATCCAGCTGAAGAGCCAGATGCCCGCTAAGACCACGAGGAGGTAGAGCAGGAGATAGCGTAGAACTACGTCTCATCTACATCTTCACATCTTCACATCTGCACATCTACATCTTTTTCACATCTGCACATCTCACGTCTTCACCTCTCGCTCTTCTTTTCTTTCTCTCTTAAGGCGGGGGCGGTGCCGCCGGAGCACCACGAAACGCAGCCCTCTGCGGAGATCGTGCGTGTCGAGGGCGCGAAATGCAGGTGAGATTGTGTTTTGGATTTGTCGCGGGCAACCCTCTCCGGAGATCGTGCGTGTCGAGGGCGCGAAATGCAGGTGAGATTGCGTTTTGGGTTTGTCCGGCGCGAGCGGGATGATTGGCGGTATCGTGTGATAGGATTGCTTCTAGTGTGTGGGCAGACTGTGTGGCCAAACTACGTCCGTGATGTCGCAGTGCCATGCGGATTTGCGCGGCCTTGGTGGGAAGTGCGTTTGCGTGGCGCCGCGCCACTGGGGAGCGCGAAACACGCTGGCGTAAACGCGGCGTGTCGCTGGTGAGCGGGATGACTGGCGGTATCGCGTGATAGGATTGCTTCTATAGTGTGGGCAGACCGTGTGGCGAAATACATTCGTGATGTCGCAGTGCCATGCGGATTTGCGAGGTCTTGGTGGGAAGTGCGTTTGCGTGGCGCCGTGCCACTGGGGAGCGCGCAACCTGGTGTAAACGCGGCGTGTCGCTGGTGAGCGGGATGATTGGCGGTATCGTGTGATAGGATTGCTTCTAGTGTGTGGGCAGACCGTGTGGCGAAATTACGTCCGTGATGTTAAAGTTATTTCTGAAGGATCGGGGCTGCTCTTTGAATCAGGGCTGGGAAGTTGTGTCCTACTAGAAGCATTCTATGCTTGTGATCAGTTGGCCTGCGTGACCAGCCAGAAGCTTTGGGATCAGTTGACATGCGTGGTCGCCAGGTAGAAGTGAGCGACGCCGATCAATGTGATCGGTGTCAGTTGACATGAGTGGTCTCCAGCAAAATTGAGGGAACATAATAAGGTGATTTGTGGTGGTTGTGATTTAGTGAATGGTGTCGCCTGCCGGGGGTGAAAGCAAGGAAAAAAGAAGCGAAGGGTTCAAACCGAAGGTGAGAAAACATGCCAAAAAGCAGGGAAGGGAAGAGAAGGGAAGGGAAGGGAAGCGAAGGAAAGGGAAGGGGAAGGGAGGGGAGGGGAGTAGAGGGCAAGGAAGGGAAGGGAAACGGAGGGAAGGGAAGGGAAGCGAAGGAAAGGGAAGGGGAAGGGAAGGGAGGGGGGGGGAGGGCAAGGAAGGGAAGGGAAGGGAAGGGAAGGGAATTCTCTTTTTGCCTTTGCTTTCGCTTTTGCTTTCCCCTTTGCTTTCTTGGTTTCTGATTCCTTTTCTTCTGCTGCGTCTGGATCTTCTGTTTTTTTCCCTTAGGTTTCTTGGGATGCTCTTCTGCCTCTTCTTTTGCATTCTTTCTGATCTTGGTTTTCTCCTCTGCAACTTCGCCCATGGCTTGCGACAATTGGCGTTTCAAAGCGGTCTGTCTCGCTGGATCTATCGATTTGTGGGAAGTGCCAGCAGTCCCTGGGTTTTTCACTT